ATTTCAATCTTCTTATTTTGTGCTTGAAAAACATCCTCATTTTTTTCATCACATTTTGTTGCCAAATGCATCAAATAATCCAATTTTCTCTCAATTCTTTCCTCTGTCTCCAACACCCTCTCCAGAGCTAAGAGTACTTCTTGGAGAGACGCCATGTTTATACGCAGTTGTATTTTTTCTTAGAAGCTCAGCAAGATTGAAACACTCACTCGCAAACTCTCTGCAAGTGAAAACAGACTTCAAAGGGACAGCTATAAAATCTTATCAGATCTTAAGCCAAACAGCCGCACAATAAAAGCTTAGAAAGTCGAAGTCAAAATAATCCATCTGTATCTTACAGAGTCACAGAGAAATGTTAAAGGGATAATCCATCCATTTGAAAAGGTTTTGCTTAGAATCAATCCATGTAAATAACATTTAAAGGGTAAGATAACCACTGTCCAGAACCATTACAAAAATCAAATTCGCTGCTAAGTTCTTCTATTTTTTTATTTAAATTAGTTTTTAGATTTTATAGGCAGTCCGTTTTTTAAAACAATAAATGTTTCTCACCAGTTGGTATCACTTTCTATTTCCACATCGTTCCGTTCCTTTCTGAGGTCGCCTTGACTTTGTCAGTCTTGACAAACTGGAATTTTTATTATCAGCAGAAGACTTTTGCCTTGCTTTTCTCGGAGATTTTGCGATATTCCCGAGATCAGCAAGATGTAATCTTCTTGTTCACCATCTCTTCGGGATGATTTATGTCCGTTGGAACCCCCCAGCAATAAAAGTGTCGACTGCGACCTCTGAGCTTTGAGATCGCACGTCGTCTCGTTACGGCATCGGCCCCTCCCTCTCCTCCATGGGTCCGTATTTTTGATTAGATCATATTGAGCTGTTTTTTTCCCCAGATGTTACTTTTCTTTTCAGATTTGAGCATCACAATAAAAAAAAAGATTCTGTATTTAGAGAGTCTTTTTGATTAAGACATCAGGCTAGAAACTGGGGGATCATTAATTCTATTCCCATCTTAGGCACAAAGCCAACGGGATTTGTGGCCCAGTCACATACTCAGCCTTAGGAACCAAACCACTTTTGGAAAGCAAAACAGAACAGAAAACTTCAGGGATTTGTCCAGGCAATCACCAGGGTCAAGGCATCTGACACACAGGCACACAAACAAAATAGACAAGAAATTACAAGTAATAAGAGAGATTTTTACGATCACCTCTGGAAAAATAATCTGTGGACAACTTAATTTCCAATTTTAAAATAGCTTTATTAAAGATATTCTACAGTCAGGATTATCTAACTGTCAAATCCCAAATTGCTTTAAATGATCTTGTTCTGATATTTAGTTTGTTCCATTTCATTTATGATATTTTTAAAGAAAGTCATTTGTAAAATGTTCATGTAGATTTCCCAAAGTATACATTTTTACTTTTTGTAGCTATGAGATGCTTCACACAAAAGTGCATATGTTAGCATATGTATTATGCTAATTAGTATACTCATTGAGCAATAAATTATTCCATTATTCCTAAGCCGAGCTTACTCTTAATATTTTTGTCTATCAGTAGACTTGTAGCCAATATGCAACATAATGAATTATGTTCCAACATTTTTATTACCATATCAAAAATAAATTTGGAGGGTGTCCATGTATGGGAGACCCACTTCTGCTTGCTTGAAGCAGGGTAAAAGGCCGCGTGGTGTGCCAGTGCCACCGCCATGAGGCGGGGGGGATGAAGCTGCTCCACACACCCTGCACCAGCTTACCCCAAGGCCCCTGCAGTCAAGCCACCCACGCCCTGACACCTGCCTTGTGTTGCAGCAGCAGCATCAACACATCGCTCGGTCTCTTGCTCCTTTGTGGCTGCAAGCAAGCAGAAGAAGTGGGCCAGGGGCCACTTGGGCTCCTGCTGCATATGGCGGCCGGTGCCGGCGCCATGAGGCAGGTGTCAGGGCATGGATGACCTGGCTGTGGGGGGCCCAAGGTAAGCCGGTGTAGGGCGCGTGGGGTGACTCCATCCCCGCTTCACCTTGTAGTCATAGCACCGTGAGTTTGCTCAGGCTCTTAAGTAGGGCTTAATTTGGGGGGTAGAGCTTATATTAGGTGCATGTGTTTAAAAAACCATGCTAGGGCTTATTTTCGGTGCATGTCTTATTTTCAGGGAAACTATATTATTGTACTACATAAATATAGATAAGATATACAGGGTTAAGAAGGCCATACAATTAGCAGTATAAAGTGTCTTGTAAAGAGTTTAATAAAATAAAAACTGCCACAAGGTTTATTTGCAGAAATAGTTGGCCAACCATCAAGAAACTTGTGTTAGATATAATACTGAGTTTCTCATTTTCCATTTTTAGATAGTAAAGGAGAAGGAGAGATTCCGAAAAGCACCACCAAACTATGCCATGAAGAAAACTCAGCTACTAAAAGAAAAGGTAAAGAAATAATATTGCTTAAAGTGCTAGAATTTCAGTAAATTCTGGGCTTCTTGAGAGAAAATTGCCTTGTACCTAAAATAGTTCTGTGCATGGAGCAGCTGTTTTCAGCGGGTTCATACATAAACCAAAATGCATATTTTGGATGTTTTGCTCTGGGTTCAGAATGAAACTGGATTGTTTTGTTCCCGTGTCAAACCAAACAGAATTGTTCCAAGCAAACACGTTTGGGGTAGGAGTAAAAAATGAAAGAACAAAATTGGGAGTTTCCTTGGCAACAACAAGTGTTTATGATGATAACAGTGAAGGCGGGGGACACAGTGAAAGATGGAAAAAGTGGGCAGAATTATTTCCTTGGGAAAGCCAGTTGATTAATGATTGTGATTTCCTTAACAACTCCTCAATTCATTTAATGACAGCATGAAATTGGATTTAGTCACATGATGACTTCCTTAACCACCACAATACTTAGGGGCCGAAATTCTGGTCCCAATTGTGTTGTAAGTTGAGGATTATATGTAAATCTTCTCATGTTTCATCACTGCCAACAGGTGGCATATTACATTGTGAGAGAATAGTACCTAATATTACCTATTAAGAGATATAACATGCAAAAATGTTTCAGTTAGATTCCTATGGGTCTGATTTAAGTTGATTCCTAGGTATAACCTATTCAAAGAATATGTTTATTGAAACATATCTTAAATCAAGATCCACTTGACATAATAAAACATTTAACTTTTAATCAGTTCTCACCATTACTGCTGGTACAATTCATATGGTGCAATACTAATAAATAATTCTTTGTTAAAGGCCATGGCAGAAGACTTGGGAGACCAGGACAGAGCAAAACAGATTCAAGACCAGCTTAATGAGTTAGAAGAAAGAGCAGAAGCCTTAGATCGTCAGAGAACAAAAAACATTTCAGCCATCAGGTTGGTATCTAACAGAACCTGGAAATAAAAGTACGTCAGTAGGCCATTTCTGTTGTCCCCTTCTTAACTTGGGGCAGGGTTAATGGTGATATTATTTCAGAGAAATCATGCTAATAGTTTTTAATAAGGCAGAAATGTGTTACATTTTTAGAAATGATGCTTCCTTACAAATTTATAAGTCATCTTAGGATATGACTTCTAGAATAAGATTTTTTATGACAGCAGATTGAGAAAGTTAATCATTAGAATGCAAGAATAAATAAATGTTCATCTTTCTTTTCTCAGTTATATCAACCAGAGAAATAGAGAATGGAATATTGTGGAATCTGAAAAAGCTTTAGTGGTAAGTAATGTTAATGGAGCAAAGGAAAAACAAAATGCATTTTTATTGAAAAAGTGGCTTTCTGAATTTAACAAATACATTTGGGGAAACTACTGCTTTGTTCAGTTGTATATGACTTTTTAAACTGCCATACTAATATTTTTGAGTTTTAAGCCATGGGCTGATTAAAAAGTACTCACTTTTGGTGACAGAAAATGATAACACTATTTGTCTTTTTAAAAATGGCAATCTGCAAAAGAAAAAAAATTACCTGGTCCATTTATAAAGTTGGGAACACAAAATACGTTTTTGTGGATATTGAACCCAGCATGCTGGTTGGGGAATTTTGGGAAGTCTCCACAGTTGCTGAGGTTGAGAAACATTGTTTTAAAGGAGAAAAAGACCCTGAAATTAGAGGGCTGCTAATTTTGAATGTCACACTGAGTAAACGATGGGGGATTATTTTGAAGACCCAGTAGTGGTTCAATCTAAAGTCATCTTCCACAGAAAGATGTTTAAATCTCAAGTAGGAGATTGAATTAGCAGTGGTAACGCTACAAATAAATATTGGGATGGGCAAAAAGGTGAGTTTCTACAGAAATTGAGCAATCATTTGAAAAAGTGCCTTGCCTTCAAGATGCAGGAGTGGGAGGCAGAACTACTTTTTGTGCTTGATAACCATATATAGGCACAAAAATCTATTTACAAACTAGCTGTGTGAAGCATAAGAAAATGTTCTAAATCCCATCTGTTATGGCAATGCATATTCCACAAAATTTTCAGAACAAAAGGAGAGCTACTTTACTTCCGCTCAGAATTCTTTGAATCTGTGGTATGTTGGCTTCATTTCAATCATTTAAGAAATGCCAATTAACATCCAGAATGCCTAGAGCCTATTCTTTAAGAATCAGAAATTCAAGACATTAGTCTTAACTTTCCAATACCCTGCAGAGATATTTTTTTCATTACCAGGAACCATAGCTCACCTTTGATAAAAGGTCCAAAGGCTTCTTGAGTGGTTCGTTTTCCTACATTGACTTATCAGAGGTGTCTATGAAGCTGTAAGGACCCAACTTAAGCAAGAGCTTAATTGGAATGAAGTAGGCTGCCTGATTCTAAAGCTAGTACTATCTTTAAATGTTATTGAGGCAATGCGGAGAAATGGAAGCTTAACATAAAATAATGTGTCTTTGTACTTTATGTTTTTGAAGGCTGAAAGCCACAGTATGAAAAACCAGCAAATGGATCCATTTACTAGACGGCAGTGTAAACCTACAATAGTCTCAAATGTAAGTAAAATGCAAAGTTGAGTGCAGTGAAGACTGTAATTAGCTATTTATATCTGAGATGCTGGATATCAGTCACCATTCAAATATCACACACATAACAGTAAGCATAAGCTTATATGAATTAAAATTAATATAATGCTTTGATCTATAATCAGATGCAAAAAAGTGTGATTTTTTAGCAGAATTAATTTAATTCCATGTAATAGCAATAGCACTTAGACTTATATTCTGCATCATAGTGCTTTACAGCTCTCTCCAAATCGTTTATAGAGACAATATATTGCCCCTAACAATCTCATTTTACCGACCTCAGAAGGATAGAAGGCTAAGTCAACTTGAGCCGGTCAGGATTGAACTCTTGGAAGTGGGAAATCAGATTTAGCCTGCATTTCTGGATTCTAAAACTGTGCCACTACGGCACAGTATGTATAATTATTTATATATTGCTTACCTGTCAGATTCTAAGTGGCTTATATTATAAAAGCAGAAAAAATAATATCAAAATCAATGACCCTCAGTCCCATTCACTATTGTCACTGTGTGAGGAAAACCAGTTTTTACCATCTTTCTAAGTGACAATAAAGTGGCAGAGATTATATTAATATGCAAATTCCCGTTTTTAGATTAGGGCAGCCTTTTGCAAATTACTGAAAATTAACTGTACATTCTGTTTTAATTATATATAGTTACTGAATACACTAAATGAGGATAACATTTTAAAGGGAAATAAATAGTAGTCCAACCAATAATAAATCTTCTTTTCCACAGTCTAGGGATCCTGCCGTACAGGCTGCTATCATTGCGCAACTAAATGCAAAATATGGATCTGGTGTGTTACCTGATGCTCCAAAAGACATGACCAAGGCAAGTCCTCCAAGTGTTCATTATGTCCTGTCCTGTAGTTTTAAACAAATAGTCTTAATTCTGTAGAATTCTAATCACATAAGGCAGAAGTGGGAAACTATGGGCCCTTTTATGACTCGTGAACTTCAACTCCCAGAATTCCTGAGCTTCTGGGAATTCTGGGAGTTGAAGTCCATGAGTCATAAAGGGCCCATAGTTCCCCATTCCTGATATAAAGTAACAGCAGTTTTGATCTTAGTCCACAAGTTTTTTAATATTATTTTAATAATATTAAAAATGTATTTCTCTTTCAGAACCAGGGTAAAGACAAAGATATGAATTCGAAATCAGCCAGTGATCTCTCAGAGGATCTTTTCAAAGTGCACGATTTTGATGTGAAAATTGACCTTCAGGTTCCTAGTTCAGGTAGGTGTTGCTGCTTTTGAAGGGATGAAAAGCAAACTGAGAGAAAAGAGGGAATTTTTGCTGACTGCTCTCACAAAATTGTAGCATTTGAGCAAAAATCTAATGTTGTGCGTAAGCATCCACCATCTGCTAATTTGATTAGGAGTTTTATGTATTTTATTTATTTATTTATTTATTTACGAAACTCATATGCTGCCTATTTCACACTAAGTTAATAATTATAAGAGAGAAGGATGGGAAGTCTGGGAATTATAATCCAACATATCTAGGGGTAGTACGATAGGAAAGGCTGCTCTCTAAAGCCGAAGTCCCCAAGCGTATTTTTGGGTACCAGGGACCAGTTCCATGGAGAGATATTTTTTCGTGGACCAATGGGAGCGTGATTTAGTGTACTGCCTGCATCCTATAGATGGAGCTTTGCTTGTTTGTGCGGACTGGTTTCTGGCATGCTACAGACTGGTGCCAGTCCATGGACCGGGGGATTCGGGACCCCAGCTCTAAAGAGAATTATTTTGGCTTAGCTGCCTGTTACTCAGCAGCTTTCTGCTTTCTTCCATCATCTGAGTTATTTGTATGTACTTTGTCTTCCCACAGAGTCCAAAACACTGGCCATCACTTCCAAGGCTCCCCCTGCAAAAGATGGTGCCCCTCGGAGATCACTGAACCTAGAGGACTACAAGAAAAGGCGGGGGCTGATCTGAGCATTCCTACTCTCTGCTGCTTCTGATCCTGCATGCTACATGATCTCCTTTACACCCCTTTATTTTCTTCCCTTCTACTTCAGTTGACCCTTTTGGGTTGGAGCAGCAGCTACAGAGCTAGGAAGAGACTCTTTAAAATTGCCAGCCATCTGTAATATAAATCACTGACTTTTTGCTGTATAGACTTCCCTTATTGCTCTTCCCTCCTGCGATACACAAATATGGATCCATGCTATTTTTAGGGAGGGGAAGAATTTTTTTTTCATTTTGGAAGTACAGCTGTTTGGAATTGGCTGTCTGTATTCAGTGTTAACTTGGAATCTGGATTTCTGCAGGAATCTGTCGGTGGCCGAGCAGTGTTAGCACTTTGCTTTTCCACCATCCCAGGCAAGGAGAATTTACCCGCGTGTGGCACAAGACCTCTTGTGAAGGTCCCTTGCACTTTTCCCTCTTCTTCTTTCCCTTTGCTCCTAGCTTTGGAGAGGGACATATTTACAAACAGGTTTCGGGTGAAAGTGTACATTTTTGTGGGGGTGGGGTGGGCTGTGTGAACTTTTTTCCAGATGTTTTTTTATCATTTTTAACCTGCAGTAAATTTGTATTTGTCATAGTTCTTTAAAGATGTCTGGAATTTCTACCAACTACATTTGAGCATCTGACACAGCAGAGGCAATTTAGTAAATGTGATTTTTTAAAAAACAGACAAACAAAAATGGCCTGGCTAACAATAGCTGTGCAAGTTCACACTTCTCTGTTTTCTTTTTATAAAAATGCCTCCCGTCTCTCCCTCCTATATCTGGCTTTATAATACAGTAATATATATATATACTGTTGAGTGACCTATTATAGGAAGGTAAGGCACTATGTCTTCTCTGGCTGCTACTTGGATCTTCTCTTCCATTTCCCCTGCCCCTCCCCAAAACAGAAATATGTGTGGTCATCCCCTTTGCTGCTCAGCCTCATATTTTCTAGGCTAGACTAGATATCTTTTCGTTTGCATACTTTTTTGGGGAAAATGCTGAATGGGAAGGATATGGTAGAATTGGGAGATTATTTTAAATTGCAGTTATTTCACCCATATAACATTAGTAGGTACAACGCGTGTGGTTGTGAACCTTAAGAAAGGATTGTACATGTGGAGTGCTCAAATAGGAAACATGACTGCTTGATAATCACTCAGGGGTAAAGATCAACGTGTAAATAAATGACATTTTATCAAGAACTACCATGGGTTATATTGAATTTAGTACATGAATAATGAGAGGTTTCACTAGTGCCAGTTTGGGAAACCTAAACAAAGGATATTTTCCTGACTCAAGAATCAGAAGGAGACCATACATGAAGCATTTTTAAGCCCAGAATATTTATGGTTACATCTAAACAGACATTTGAATCTCGTGGCTGTGATCTGTGAGTATCCTTCTTGATGCTTTAATTCATTTTTTTTCTTTAATTGCTTATTTAATGCAAGGGGAAAACGTATCTGTGTAAAACCTATGAAATGAAAGGGGAGGGGAAACTCCTCCGTAGATTGTGTGAAGTGTGTGGCTTTATTTACTAGATAGTCCACAGCTTTATGGACTGTTGTGTAAATATGTAATCATTCTAGTTTGCTTTGTTTTTCTTTTCTTTTTCAAACTACATTTCTCAAGCTCTTGTGGTCTGTTATTTTTTTAAATGGATTTCTGGAATATGCCGGTGTATAACTGGGAGTCATCATGATATACTGTGTAAATAAGCAATATTATCACTTGATTTTTTTCTCCTCTGCCTGTATCATTTGTAGTAGCCAGTCCCCCATTACTAATATTTCTGATATAGAAAATAGATTTGCAATACTTTTACAGGTTTTTGATCGCCCACCGATTTCTATAAAGCTGTGACATGAGAGAAAGAAAAGAGCAAGCAAAGATTTAGCGTCTTATGTTTCTACCTAATTATATCATGGCAGTCCGTGACAGACTTTTGTAGCCAGAGGTAGACTTTATGACATTGGCCTTATAATCAAAGTGCAGAAGATTTTTTTTTCTCTTAAGTTGTAAATAAAGCATTGGTTTCCTCTCCTCCAATTGGGTAAGAGCAATGTTTCTCAACCTCAGCAACGTTAAGATGTGTGGACCTAATTCCAGAATTAAAAGTTGGCTGAGGAATTCTAGGAATTGAAGTCCTCACATCCTAATGTTCCTCAGGTTGTGAAATACTGAGTTAGATGAACTACTCCAAGAAGTGGGGAATTTAAAGACACGAATGAGGTAGCTGTCCCAATGTATCCCCTATATACTAAACTCAGAAATGAGGTTCTGTTTTTCACAGAGGTAATAGTTGAGTCCTTGTACACCATCTTTTTCAGTGAGAATAATACATCGAAGGAGTATTTTTTCTCAGATAGCTATGGAACTAATTGTGTATGAAGGTGTAATGTTTTCTCCTCTTAAGTGCATGTGACAGTGAGTGATGACACCACAGTCTCATTTGGAGGGATGGGTTTATTTGCTTTAATTCATTGATGTCTCGGCAGCATTCGTTACAATGTATAGACTTCTTTAAATAAACTCTGGTTGGTTTTAATAAAGATGCTCATGTTCAATTCTTTAGATATCATCTAATTCATATTTTTGAGCAACAACAGCCAAAAGTTCAAATCTACTTGTCCCCAGTCTTTGAAAGTTACTCTTCAGTTAAATTATCAGACAATATTATTGCTTTATGACTATGGCAATTCTGGATAGATCAAAATTAGCTGGAAGATACATTAGGAATTCCTTTACATTTTGCAATACAGCAATTACATAAAAGCAGGAGAACGAACATACTTTTTCTGAGTTTGAATTTGAAAGATGTTCTTAAGCTTTGAGCACATGCTAAGTAGTAGTCCTCTAAAATAGGCAGAAGTGAATAGTTCAAAATAAAGTTCTCTTAATTGAATTATATATGTATAATATGATTACCTTTCATGTAATTAACAATGTTTTGCTTCTATCATATTTTTAAAAACCTTTCATTCCATTTTAGATATTCTTCAAATCATATATATCTAGTTACACACCTGCAGCAGAATATAAAATCAGGTGCACACAAAAATGTTTAGCAGTTTCAGCAATAAAGTATAATTATTTTTGAAGTGGGCAATAGCACCCATAAAACAGAAAAGCTACTTAGTTAAAACAACATGTTTAGCCATGAACCGCTACTATTTTTAAACATCCAAAATAAAGATAGAAATATAAAAATTAAAGAATAACAGGGAACATCAGCTCTTATATGCCATGAGAATCATAATACTGGTGAAAATAGCATGTTGTTATACAGAATAAATTTCAAGAGAGGAGGAAAGTGTCTATAATTACCTTGTTCTAGAATAAGTACCACAAAAATAATTCTTTACATGTTATATCATAATAGGTTTGGATATCATAAATACACATAATAATGGCCAACACTGAATGGTGTTTAGCCATTACTTCATGATCCTAAACTACAACAATTATTATAAAAAAAAATAAGGATAAGGAGCTTAACTATAACATATAACAGCTTCCCCAAAATAATTCCAATTCTTGGTTTGATTGCAATAATCATGGTCCCCAAAACTAATAGCTAATATTTAGGCTATGGTACTGAAAATAATTAGGTATCTGATTATGCCACGCAACATTGAAATTATGTTCCTAAATTTATTCTCAAAAGTGGTAGCAATCCAAATGAGAGAATAGGGTGATTCAATAAATCTGATTGGGACATCAGATAGAAATAGATAGTGGTAAGAATGAGTCTTGAAAACATGTCATTAAAATTAAGCAAATAACAGATCAGATTTTGATGTAAAAAACTATAAGTATATACAATAAAAGGAAGCAAATGAAGGAATGTTTGGATTCAAGGATAATTGTGCGATTAAAGGTGGGGAATTTGGCAAAAACTGACATTTTTAAAATTTTGCTCAACTCTTCTACGCTGCTGTAAGTTGCAATGCTAAAACTTTTTAAGGTCATTGGAATTCATTGTAAAAAAATAAGACTTTCTATTCACTTTTCAAGTATTTCTTGGAATGCCAGCTTCCATGAAATAATATTTTGACATAAAAAACAAAAAGGAATGAATGGATGGATGAATGGATATCAGTCAAAAACCATCTGATATCAGTTGGCTGTTTTACCTGATACCTCATAATACAAAAGTGTGTTCTTTGTTAAAAGAAGCCTCCTTCATTCAAAAGAAGCCGTAAGGAACAGGGGGACTGAGAAACTCTATGGAAAAATCTCCACAATCAAGGCACCTCCTTATGAATTCTCATAAAGAGAATTTTATAAAGGCATCTGAACTGGGAATAGCAAAAACCAAATCACTTTAAATAGTCTCTATGGAATTAAAAACTGTCTCTTAAAACCTAGATTGCAGCATCTTAAATCAAACCTCTTCCTCTTTTTAGTCCAAGCTGTCCATTTTCAAAACGTTGTATGTTAAGTCTTCTGCAAATCTGGGAAGAAAGAGCCAGGAGTGGAAGGCCCATCAATTCCCAATATAATGGATTTGTGAGCATTTGCACAGCTCTCTTGAAATCCTGCCACAGCATTTCAGTCTAGTTGAGGTCTGGACTTTTACTGGGTCATTTCAACACCTTGATTATTTTCTTTTTCAGCCATTCTGTTGTAGATTTGCTGTTGTGCTTGGGATCACAGTCCTGTTGGATGACCTAATGTCGGTCAAGCTTTAACTGTGGGACGGTTGGCCTCACATTTCACTTTAGAAAACTTTGGTATACAGTGGAGTTCTTGGTTGACTCAATGACTCCAAGGCGCCCAAGACCTGTGACTGCAAAACAAGCCCAAATCAGCCCTCCACAACCATGCTTGACATTTGGTCTGAGATGTTTGGGCTAATGCAGGGGTGAAATCCAGCAGGTTCTGGAGAACTTGTAGCGGTTATGGAGAACCAGTAGTGGAGTAGTTCGGAGAACCGGTAGCAGAAATTTTGAATAGTTTGGAGAACTGGCAAATGCCACCTCTGGCTGGCCCCAGACTGGGGTGGGAATGGAGATTTTGCAGTGTCCTTCCCCTGCCACGCCCACCAAGCCACACCCATCAAGCCACACCATGCCCACCAAGCCATGCCCACAGAACGGGTAGTAAAAAAAATGAATTTCACCACTGGGCTAATGTGCTGGGTATGATTTTCATCGAAAGTGGCACTGTGTATTATGGCCAAACATCGCCACTATGGTCTCATTTGTCCAAAGGACAGAAGTCTTGTGATTTGTTCAGATGCACTTTTGCAAAGCTAAGCTGTGCTGCCATGTTCTTTTTAGAAAAAAGAGGCTTTCTCCTGGCCACCCTTCCAAACAAACCACACTTGCTCAGTCTTTTGTACGGTTGTGAATATCAACATTTAACATGCTAACTGAGGCCTGTAGATCTGAGATGTAACTCTTGGATTTTTGCAACTACTTTTTTTGTACTAATATTTAGTTTATTCAAGGAAAGTTAAAATACAAATACCAAAATATAAAAAAGAGAAAAAAATAATAAACAAGACATTAAAAGGGAAAACAAATTCTTAAAATAGATTAACATATACACACGTAATATCCTCTCTAATTGAATGCTGGTTAATACAACAATAATAACTTCCTACCCCTTACAACACAGGTCAAAATAATTTTAAATTATTCAGCTACTGTATCTGTTTACAAATTGTTAGCCTGTCATCTACATACTATATTAACAAAATAATTAACAGGAAAAACAAAAATATGTAACAGTATAAGAAAATAAAAGTTAATAATATGGAAAAAATATTGAAATTCCAAAATCTTTTGTTAACAAAATTATAATTAACTGGTAGAAAGTTTACTAAATTTCAATCTGAGATCATCCCAAAAAATTAACTCTAATTGGTCGCAGATCAAGTATACACATTTGTTTCTTAATGCCATCTCTTGTCAATTGCCGATTGATGAAATACAATAAGTCTAATCTCCAAAGCCAATCTATTTCCCCCAAAAAAGTCAGATGGAATTGTTCCCCAATTAAATGAAAGGAATTGTTCCCCAATCCCCCACTTTCCTGAATTTTTTTGCAATTTCTCAGCATTGTAGTTTGATCTCAGGGTAAATTTGCTGGGACATCCACTTCTGGGAAGATAGCTAATTGTCCTGAATGCTTTCCACTTATGAATAATCTTCCTCTCTGTAGTTCAATGTCCAGCCCCACTTAGACTGAATGGATGGTGTATAATTTTAACAATTGTATTTTTTATTTTTAAATTTTTAAATGCTTTTTTATCTGTCTGTAAGCTGCCCAGAGTCCCAAGGGAGTGGGTGGCATACAAATTTTATTAAATTGAAATTGAAATTCTGACCCTCATAATCGCTAAAAAAACACAGAACCTATATGGCTTCTTAGCTCAGACTGGGTTGGCAATGTATAACTCACTTTAAACCAATAGGTGATTTTCTCTAAAGATTTTAGTTAGATATTAAAGAACATAGAAGTCTCACGTGAATCAGGCAAAACAGTAGAATCCAAAGGGTATAATTGTACAAGTGAAGTTGTTGCAGGAGATGAAATTTTAGGAAACATTTCAGCTTCAAATGATATTAAATCACCCACCTTTATAAAGGTTCTTCTTCAGTATACAGTTCCTCTTTTAAAATATCGATCGCCATATTTCCTTCATTTTTTGGAGCTGTGTAGTCAATATTGGGAACGGTTTTGTACCTCTCTGGATGAAAGCGATAATGTCATTGGTGTTTCACAGTAGTCACAAACATAAGCCTGTTTTGACCGAGTCTTCCCGAGAGCATGAAGCAAATTCCTGGTCCCAACAAAAAACCCTTTTATTAATTTACTGTGAATTCTGCTCATTCACACCCAGCAAAGTCTTTCACAGACCTTATCTGGTTTGGAGAGCTGCTAGGCCGATATCTGCAAAACTTGCCAAGGAGTTTCGGAGAGTCACGAATCAATTAAGCGAACTAATTGTCTCCTGCAAACTCTACTCCCCGTTTGCTCCTCTTTTATTTCTTCTGAAGGACCATTCATCATCCACCTGTGGCCTTACTCCCAAGTGGACTCATGTTCTTTAGCTGTTCCCTTTGTCTGGCAATTTTATGCATGTGCACACTGGTAACAGGCTCCAGCTGTTCATCTGCCTCACTGATGTATGACTCCGAAAGCAGCTGAGAACTGCCAGTTGCCCTTGGCCCTGTCTCTGCCTCTGATGCAGAGCACTCGTCAGAGCCTTCCTCAGACTCCAGGACTGCCTATGTTTCTCCCCAGCCTGCTCACTATCCGAATCTGCTGCCAGCTTCGCTGGCTGCTGGCAGGCCACAACAATGGCTCGGTCACATACCTCCAGCTGAATTCCTTAATGGTGAGCTTCAAATCTCCCCCCAAATGATTGCAGTGCCAAATCATTATTTCTGAGACTTGCTTTCCCCCTCTTTTAAGTAATTTTAAGTCATGGTTTTTTTAATTTTTCCCATGTTTCATTGGATATGAAGACTTGAATAGTGTAATTTGCCTGAATAAAATAAAACTTTCTGTATCTTTTTGTTTTTTTAAAAAACATATTAAATTAATAAAGTAATACTTCC